TGGCAACCTCGGGACAAGCAGGTGGCAGGTGGTTAAGGCGCTGGACACTCGCACATGGCCAACCATGGTTCGAGTCCTGAACCTGGTGACTTGCTTTCCCACTTTCCCTTTCTCTTTCTCTCTCTCTCTCTCTTTCTCTCTCTCTCACTGGGCAATTTAAAATAACAACAATAATAATAACAATAACAATAATAAATAAAACCAAATAATTCTTTTAAAATAATTTTTGAAGTACATGCATAGTTTTTTCATAAGCATTTCCATAAACTTTTTGAAGACCCCCCATATACAGTGAATTATTATTCAGCCTTAAAAAGGAAGGAAATTCGAGCAAGATGGCTACAAGTGGAGTCCACCCAGCTGTGGCCGTGACCAGCATGTCATTGAAGCCCACATTTAGTTGGGACAAGAATGAGGCCAAGCAGGGAGTGCACAAGCTCTACAACACCTGGCACCAGGAAGTGCCGCACACTGCACTTATCCCAGCTAGACATCACTGTGAGACAGGAATGGGATAAAGTTCAAGAAATGTTGAAGAAGAATGCGCATGTCATAGACCCCAGGGTCATAGACCTGCTGGTCATTACAGAGAAAGATGGAACTAAAGGAAACAAAGTGTGGAAGCAGCAGACACACATTAACAGGGTTCTTGCACGAAATAGACGCACTAAGGCCAAAGGATTTCCAGGATTTCCTGTCCAAGTTCTACATGGGTCATGACCCATGAAGTCCCTCAGTGGAAAGGTGCTTGTTGATGTTTAATTATTTTGAGCACAAATAAATTCATTATATGATGGGGAAAAAAGGGAGGAAATTCGTACATGTTACGACATATTGAACTTTGAAGACATTAGGCTTAAGTGAAATAAGTCAGACACAAAAGGGTAAATATGATAGTCTACTCACACGAGGTACCTAGACTAGACAAATTCAGAGACAAAGAAGATTGGTGGTTGTCAGGGGTCAGTGGAAGGGATTGCGTTATTGTTTAATAGGTACAGAGCTTCTCTTTAAGATAAAGTTCTAGAAATTATAGTTCTAGGATAAATAGTGGTAATGATCACACAACATTGTGAATGTACTTAATGCCACAATTTGTACATTTAAAAATAGTTAAAATTATAAATTTAAAGGATGTATTTTACTTCAATTAAAAAAATATATTAATTGGAACATGTCTCCTTTTCTGTTTCCTGGTACAGAACATGTAAAATTGATGCTAAATTTTCTTTAGACATTTGGTAGAATTCTCTGGTGAAAGTAAGTGGGCGTAGACATTTCTTTGGGGGGAATTTTTTTTTAATGTCAACTTGCTAGAGGGCACATACGCTTATCAAAGAAGTGAGGGAATAGGTCAGCAGGTGGCATGGTGGTTAAGGTGCTGGATTCCCACATGTACAGTGGTGGTTCAAGTCCTGGAGCAGGCAGTTTGAAAATCACAACAAACAAATAAATAAATATGTGTATGTAAAAAAGAAAAGTGAGGAAGTGAGAAAGCGTTACCTACAGAGTATGATCACACCACAATCCCTTCTTTTCTCCCTCTTTTTGGGATCTTGGGCATGCACACAAGTGTACCCACTGTGTCTCTCAGCTGCAAGACCTGGGACTAGAAATGCATGGTTGGCCATGTGGGATGCAGCTGCCTTCGCTGCCAGGTCACAGGCTGGCCCTAGGAGTTTTTAGATTACAAATTTAACTTCCTTAACCATTAAGGAGCTATTCAAATTATCTGTGTCATGCTGAGTGGGTTGTGATAGACTGTGTTTACCAAGAAAGTAATCTGTTTTATCAAAGTTGTCGAATGTATGTGCAGTAGAGCTGTTCATACTTTCTCTGTATGATCTTTTTGATATCTGCAGGGCCTGTAACAGTAGCACTCATTTCATTCCTGATTCCTTATTTTTATTTTTTCCCTTTTCGGTATTCTTCTTAGAGCTTTGTCAGTTTTGATCTTCTCAAACAGTCCTTTAGTTCATTGATTTTCCCTATTGTTATTGTGTTTTTAATTTCATTAATTTCTGCTTTTTATTATTTCTCTTTTCTATATTCTTTTTTTTTTTTTTTTGGAGAGATTTTCACTGTAGGGCACGTGCGCTCGCCAGACAGACAGAGAGAGACATAGAGACAGAAAGCGAGAAATCACCCCCCAGGGGGGGTGGTCACGCCGCAATCCCTTCTCCTCCATTCTCCTCTCGGGATCTTGGGCACGCACGCACACGCGCCCGGTGTGAGTTTTAAGCCACCGGGTCCGGGACGTGAACCGCGGTCGACTACGTGGGAGTCCAGCGACATAGCCATTACGCTAACTGCTGGTTCCCATCTTTTCTATATTCTTGAAGTGGGAGCTTAGATTATTGATTTGAGATTTTTACTGTTTTCTAATGTACGCATTTAATGCTATTTCCCTCTCAGTACTGCTGTACCTCTCTCCCACAAATTTTGTTAGGTTATGTTTCCTTTTTGTTCAGTTCAGCATGCTTTATCATTCAGCTGATGAGAGCCGTTATCAGGGCCATGTCTCATTCACTTTGTATTCCTAATGTTAAGAAAACAGTAGATTCTCAATGAATATTTTCAAGCAAGTATGAAAAACTTTTTTCTCAGAATATCTACTTTAAACATTACCTCTATTCCAGAGTGTGTATCTCTGATAACATCCATCTGTCTCTTAAATAGTTCTATTACAGCACTGTAGACCAGTTCATACTGTTCCTGAAGAGCATCACAAACCACAACAGAAAAAAAGAATAAATAAGTCAACTCAGTGAACTACAGAACTAAATTTCAGAACTATAAACACCAATCAAATCTAAGTATAGCAGACCTGAAAGGATTATCAATATAAGTTATTACATTTAATAATACTGTCTTACATTTGTATAGCCCATTTCAGATATCAAAGCACTCTGGGTTGCTAGAAATAATGAAATATTTTATATACATTTAGTTAATGAACAAAAATATTATGGCATGTGTTCTAAACACTTCCTTCCTTATCTTATTCTCCACCATTATCCTTCTAATTCTGTTTTCCTTGCTCACATGGTGCATTTTTTTTTAATAAGTCACCTGTATGTTTTCGGAAAAAGGACAGATAGTGGTGATGTAATAGATATAAACCTTCAAATGTATGATTTAACTTGACTTTCACTACGCTCTATGAAGTAACTACATTATTATTCCTGTTTACAATTTGTTAAAAGTCATTCAGAAGTGGGGCTGGCAGGTGGCATGGTGGTAAGGTGCTGGATTCCCACCTGGCTGCCCATGGTTCAGTTTCTGGACCTAGGCTTGCTTTCTCGCTTTCCCTTTCTTTTTCTCTCTCTCTGGTCAACTTAAAAAATAATGATTTAAAATATAATAATAAATAAATAAATGTTTAAAAGTCATTCAAAAGTAATTTCCAGGGGACCAGCAATTAGCATAATGGCTATGTCGCTGGACTCCCATGTAGTCGACCGCAGTTGGCGTCCCAGAACTGGTGGCTTAAAACTCACTCCAGGCGCGTGTGCGTGCGTGCAGTTGTCTTAAAAACTGAATCTTCTGGGTCCAGCAGGTGGCATGGTGATTAAGGCGCTGGATTCCAACATGACCAACCGCAGTTCAAGTCCTGTACCTGGCAGCTTACTTTCTGGCTTTCCCTCTCTCTGTGTGTCTCTGGTGAACGTGAGTTAAATCATCATCATATTAAATAAAATCAAATAAATAAATTTTTTAAATGAATCTTCTGACTTAAATTCAGTTGCTGAAATTTTTATCCTTGTAAAGAAGCCAAAGAAAAAGTAAATCAGTGAACAAGGTTTGGAAGTTGCGGTTATAAAAGGATTTCGTTGTAGAGAAATGAGACCTCTACAATCACAAGGCTTATCGGTTTTTCCCACTGTGTTTTTTTTTTTTTTTTTTTTTTAAAAAACTGAAGCACTTTGTTTTAGATCTACTTTTCATCTGAATGGGCCTATTTAGGGTGCTCCCTGACACCTTACACAAACCCATATAAAAAAGAACAATTTTTTTAAAGATAATTTTATCAGGAAAACAGTGCAGAGTCTCTACCCTTCATGGCCCCTGGTACATTCTTTAATTATTTTTAGGAGAGAAAAATCAGACAGGAAGCATACATCTAGTTATGGTGTTATTTCCTGGTTAGGGTAGTGTCAGGAAACACAGTTACTACTGTTTAGATACTTCTTCAGCTGGTTGCTGATACTGTCAAAATATGAAGACTTGTTCAGCTGCCTTCCAACTCTTAAAAATGGGCCTGAAACAATTTTTCTGAAATGGGGTATGGCTTTATTAAATATTACAATTTTTACACAGATTCTTCAAAAAGTTCTTGGAACGTGTAAACTATGGAAAAAACTGCATGAATTTCAAAAATTTTGTACCAAAAATAAACTTGTACTTTAATTCCACTTTTCCACAAACTCTTTGAAGTCTCATACAACTAGGTCACACACCACATGGAGTCTTTATGCGTTTACATGGATCAGTCCTCTTTTAACTCTGACAACATTAAACCAGCTAATCTTTTTCTTTTCGTGTAAACTTTTCCCCTCACAGGTTGAATATAGAAACACCTACAGTCAACATGACAAACATTATTTTTTTCCACTAGTCACTAGTGGAAAACCTGTGTGGGCTAAATGCAGGGGCTTATATTTTAATAGCTCTTCATTTTTCCCCTTCAATTCACAGCTTCTCTGTTAAAACATCAGAACTACTATTGTCCACTGTTTTATTTCTAAGTCTATGCGCAAGTTCATTTTTAAGTGCTTAAATATTTTAAGGTCTTATTATTTAAGTAGTAAAAGGAAGTTCTAACAAATTATGCAAAAGTACCATATACATAATTACAGTAGTAAATGTTTGATGAATGAATAAATGGGAAAATGCTCAATTTAGTATTAGGTGGAGACTACTTAGAAATGCAAGTGGTTAAAGGAGTGGATCCTGCATGGCTGACTGTAGTTCAAATCCCAGCCCCAGTGGCTTGAAAGACATGCCAGATGAGTGCATGTGCATGCCTCAAATCCTGATGGAATGGAGAAATAAATTGAGGAGGAGGGAACTGCACCATGCCTACACCCCATTGGGGGATGCTTTCTCCCCCCTCCCACTCTACCATTCTAGCCAACACGAGTGACCTCTGGCAATTAGAAAAAAAGAAATGTGGATTAAAAAACTGGTGTAGAAATAAGCGTGAATTAATATTGTAGACAGAGAAAGCAGCAGGTGGTGTGATTAAGGCATTGGACTGCCACATGGCAGACCACAGTTTGAGTCCCAGAGTAGGAGGCATGCTTTCTCACCTTCCCTCTGTCTCTGTCTCTGTCTCTCTCTCTGGTGAGTGCATGTGCCCTATAGCAAATGAAAATAACAACAATAATAATAAAATTAAACAAATAATTCCTTCTAGAAATGTATTATAAACAGAGATTTGGGCTAAGAAGAAGAAGGAAGAGCATTCCCAATAGAATGAACAAGTGTGGGCTATCTCGGAAGGGTTGAAAAGATTGTGATAAATGAAGAATGATGATGGTTTTTTAAATATACATATAATGGAGCCAGCAAATGGTGTAATGGTTATGTCACTGGACTTCCACGTGGTCGACTGCGGTTCACATACCAGACCTGGCAGCTTCAAACTCACACCAGGCACATGTGAGTACATTTCCAAAGCCCCAAGAGGAGAATGGAGGAGAAGGGATTGCAGCATGGCTATTTCTCCAGAGGGTAATTTCTTGCTTTCTTTCTCTTTCTATGGTGAGCACATGTGCCCTATAACAAAAATCTCTTAAAAAAAAAAATACACACACACACACATACACATATAACAAATACCAGGAGAAGCTACTAAAAAAAAGTAACAGTGGCTATCTCTAGGTGATAGGAATATGGTTGATTTTATTTTTATTTTTCACTCTCTCCTAAAATTAACACACAGACTAAATTTCCGTATTCTGTTTTAACCTCCTAAAGTAGAAATTACAAATTCCTAATTTTCTATGGTTTCAGAAATGGAGTTATTACTACAAAATTGCAATTTAACATGAACTAGCTTTTTCTTCGTAATAAATCAAACCAAAGAGCTTGTTGAATTTTTCTCAACATCATTTATAATTAAGAAATACTATATTGATTTCTTACTATTTTCCACCATAAAATATAAGTAATGAAAGAAACTTGACCCAAGACAAGAGGTATAGGAAAAATATTGGTAACTGGCCCCATAGCTCAGTGGTTAAGGGAGCTAGATCCCACATGACTGAATGCAGTTTGAATATCAGTCCTGCAGTTTGAGAAACATGGTGGGTGCCTGTGCACACGTACCCAAAACCTTGACAGAAAAAGAAACGGAGGAGAGAGGATTTTAGTATGACCATGTTCCATTAGGGGATTCTCTCTCTCTCTCTTTTCTCTCTCTCCCACTCTCTCTCACTCTCTCTCTCTCTCTCTCTCTCTCTCTCTGGCAAATTTAAGCACCCTCTGGCAAGTAAAAGGAAAAAATGAGAGAGAAAATGCCAGGGTATGCAGAGTGAGAGGAAATGGGAATGGACTTTAAAGCACTTTATAGTAAATAGGTGTTACATCTGAGCAGTCAGCTGCTTGAGGACCCCTTACTATTAAACCTAGAGATGCAGCAAGAAGCAACGCAAACATTTGTTCTGATGGAATAACCATAGTTCGTACCTGAGTTTGAACTAATGAAGGCCTCTGGGTACGCATTTCCTGGATCAAACTAAAAACACTGAAGTTCTCAGGAATTATCTATCAAATAAAAGAAGAAAATATCTCATTATTTTGAACTTTCATGAATACATGATTGCTACTTTCTTGTGCTTTTCTATAGTCTTGTACGTTCATGACATCTGTTCTCCTAACATGGGATGAAATGAAAAAGAACGTATTTTTTTAAAAACTAATGAGGTTTCTCATCACTTTCACCATGATCTAGAGCCTGGTGTTTTCCCTAGAAAAGATGGAAGAAACTCTTCAAAATGATTTCACATGGGGTGATCAAATGTCTGAGACTAAAGATATAATGAGGAAGAAGGCTCGGTAAACGAACAAGCTCAAGAGTTTTTTTAAATAAAAGAAGTTGGCAAATTGGCCTAAAAAACTCATATTTTGAATTTCCTATTAGATATTTTTAAAATTATTTATATAGAATAGCAGATGGTGTAATAGCTACATCACTGTACTCCCATATGGTCGAACACAGCTCAAGTCCTGGGCCTGGAGGCTTGAAATTCATGCTGGGCACAAGTGTGTGTGCCCAAAATCTCAAGAGGAGAATGAAGTAGAAGGGATTGTTGCATGGCCATCCCCCAGGGGGGTGATTTCTCACTTTCTGTCTATTTCTCTATCTCTCTCTGTCTCTCTGGCGAGCACAGGCACCCTATAGCACAAATCTCTCTTAAAAAAAAGAAAAAATCAGGACTAGCAGGTGGTGTGGTGGTTAAGGTACTGGACACTGGACACCCCGACATGGCCGGCCCCCCGGCAAATCTAGGACCTGGTGGCTTGCTTTCTCATTCCCCCTGCCCCCTGTGTGTGTGTGTGTGTGTGTGTGTGTGTGTATCTTTCTCTGGTCAAATTAAAATAAGTGAATGAATAAATACAATTAAATAAAATAATTCTTTAAAAAAATAGAAAAAGTCATTTATAGAATGGAGCACAAAATTTGATTGTGGCTAGGTTGAGCCTGTCTATTACAACAGTATGGCTAAAGGAAGGGTAACAATGTGTAATGCAGCGCTTCTCAAACTTAGCGTGCATGGGAACTACCTAGAGAGCTCCCTGGGCCCCACCTCCAGAGTTCCTGATTCCATCCATCCAGGTGGAGCCTGGTGACCTGCAGTTCTAATAGGTCTCAGGAGCTGATGCTTTTTGTCTGGAGACCACAGTCTAAGGGCCACCAATTTAAGAACTAATTTAATCATCTTACAGGATGGGTCTACAAGTGAATTTTCTAAAAAATATAAAAAATAAAAGATGAATCATAAAGATAGATGTTTGGAGAGAAAAAAAAAACACTTCTTGAGTCTGGAAGCAGTAGAGTAAGCAAATGCAAAGTGTCTGCTGGGAAAAACTCACCCCATCTTTTAGCAACATCCATGTGTAATCAACAGCACAAATAACACCAGTCCTTCCACAGCCAGCACTGAAATGAAAGGTAACAGTAGCTTGTATACTTGTCAAGAATGAATCATTGACCGGAGCTGGAAAATTTCACCAGCAGATTTGAGGAAGAAAAAGCCTGGAGGCAAGGAAACTTTCAAACCCTACCATTTCTCAGAGCACTTTTGTCATGCCACAATGACCCTAAGGACAGGTCCTAGGCTGCTTCTCACAGGAAGAGCTTCTAGAACTGTACTGTTCACAAGTAATTTAACAGAAAAATATGAATTTAATGCTCAGGTTGATTTCTATTATTGTTTCTGCTATTGACCTTTCCCTTTCAATTAGTGTCCTGATCGACACTGACATTCGGCTCGTTCCAGGCAGAAGGTTCATTCACACGGTACCTGCAGTGAATGCATATGGGAACTCTGTCATCCTCCTGGTAACAACGCACATCCCAGATGAGCTCTAGAATAGGGTCTATAGATGAGGGCACATCGTGGTCTGGCCAGTTCTTGTAATGAAACTGGTAGATAGTTCGAGTTTCCTACAAAAAAAAGAAAGAAAGAAAGAAAGACAGACAGACAGAAAGAAAGAAAGAGAAAAAAAGCCAAAATAAAAAGAGAATTCAAAGTTATGATTTTACCTCACTCCACTGAAAGATTAGTCTGACTTAACTAAGTTGCGTTTATATATTCTTTTCACAATATATTTTGCTTTCTTCTCTATAGATCTCAGGTGACCAGGTGCTTTCTTAGAACAATGAAATGTAATTTTAGGTCATACACTATTGGTTTGTCCCCATTACTCTATTCTCAAGAAGAAATTGATCTGAAGACAGTCCAAAACAAAACTTCTCAACTTGCGTGCTTTGGATGGAGGTCACGGGCATGCTGACATCATAAATCTCTTTGCCTGGAAAAGCTGGGTAAGGCCTAAAGTAGCCTAAGTTTTCACGTTAGTCCCTTGTTTCTCTTCATTCAGCCTCTATTCACCCTACAAATACTATCATTTTATATATTCACCATGGTGTGGAATAGATTGGGGAGCACAGATGACACCAAAGGACTCTCTCAAAATGAAGACTTATTCAGTATATTAAAGACTTATTCACTCACCACTCCCCATTGTCTTATGTCCATCCTGAGTAACACACATATATGAGTAGACTTCAAAAAATTTGTGGAAAAATGAAATTAAAGTGTGAGTTTTCTTTGGTGCAAAAATGTTTTGAAATCCACATATAGTTTTTTTCACCGTATATGTTTTCCATAAACTTTTTGGAGATGTCTCCTTATATATACTTGTAAAATAATTTACTTAATTTTATTTATTATTATTATTATTATTAATAATTCACCAGAGACAGACGGAAAGTGAGAAAGCAAGCCACCAGGTCCAGGACTCAAACTGCAGTTGGCCATGTAGGGATTCAGTGCCTTAACCACCATGCCAACTGCTGGCCTCTACTCCCTTATATATTTACCTGCTTGATCTCTATAGATTTTGAATTTATCACTTCTATTCTATACTTACACTATTGAACTTGGCTTTTAAAATCCTGATTATATAATCAGATTTCTGTTTTTCAGCTTCCTAAGAAGAAAAAGATTTAAATATTAGTAATTTCAAAGATGACCTCACTAACAAATAGGTTCTGGAGTCTTTGCTTAGCCATAATAGGACAGTCATCATACTTACACAGGATATGGAAAAAGGGCCAAACTGTAGCTGCATCTCCCCTGGCTCAGCCCAGTAGCGCTCACACTTTTTCTGTTACACCAAGCAGAAGGTAGTTATTTCCCTCCGTGCATTCTAGTCTCTTCAGCCTCTGCCCCTTCACTCCCTCACCCAGACACAAATTCAGCTCTGTGTCCTTCACCTTTAGGTTAGGCACTTGTAGCCCCTTGAGCATCAACAACCACCCTAATCATTGTACAGAATCTCCAAGGCTGGGAAAGCAAACACTAAAGTATATATAAATTACAAAATTCCTTGAAATCTGAAAAAGTAGAAATAAGGGTTTTTTACTTATTTTCAGTATTTCAAATGAGTACGAGAAATTATATGTCTACTAAAACAGCTGCATGTGAAGTACAGCTGAGCTAAGTGAAATACCAAAAATGAGCTAAGTGAAATACCAGATATCCTTAGTTTTGATTGGAATCATCAACTCAGAATGAGAATGGTAGGCTAGAACAGTGATGTTCAGTGACCATATAATGTAAGCCACAAATGTAATTAAAATTTTTTTCATAGCTACATTCCAGTGAAAAAGGGAAAATTAATTTTAAAGGAATTATTTATTTAATTTTATTTATTCATTCATTTATTTTCATTTGACCAGAGAAAGACAGACAAAGTGAGAAAGCAAGCCACCAGGTCCAGGACTTGAACCGTGGTTGGCCATGTGGGAGTATCCAGCACCTTAACCACCATGCCACCTGCTGGCCCAAATTAATTTTAATAAAATGTTCTAGCCTCATAATTTAAAAATTCAATAAATAATAAATATAAAATAGTTATTAGATATTTGACTTTTTTAAAAAAAAGAAAACTAAGTCTTCAATATTCAGTGTTTTGTTTAAAGATGGTCCTGCCTCAGCCTCCCAAGGAGCTGAGACAACAGGCAGACACCACTGCTTCAGATGCCATAGGGTCCGCCAGGACTCAAACCTGGGCTTCCCATGTGTCTCTGCCTGCCTAGTAGCAGTGTCAACCAGCGTGAATTACTATGGCTAGGCCAAAATTCAATGTGTATTTTATATTTATAGCTCAATTCAATTAGGATGCCAGTTTTTCATTAGAAATATTTTATTTCCATTTAGATGTCATAAAACTTACATTTGAAAAGTTTCACATACTCAAGTTATTCCATACATACTGAAAATTTTTCAATAACTGAATTGAGTATCAGTTTTTAAGTTTGAATCAATTAAAATACTACAAAGTAATTGAGTCCCTTGGTCACACTAGCCATCTTTTCTGTGCTCAGTAGCTAGCCATGTATGGTTAGTAGAGGACATGTCAGACGGTACAGGATTAGAAGCTCTCACTGGCAGTTAAAGATGTCTGTTTAATAGAAACGGGAAATTTAATTTTTTTTTTTTAGAGATTTTTGCTATTGGGTGCGTGTGATTGCTGGAGAGACAGACAGAGACAGAGACAGAAAGTAAAAAATTACACCCTCCCACCCCCCCACCCCCGCAGGGTATGGCCACACCACAATCCTTTCTCCGTTCCTCTCTCTGGATATTGGGCATGCAAGCACAAGCCCCCAGTGTGTTTCAAGCCGCCGGGTCCAGGACTCAAACTGGTGCCATGTGGGAGTCTAGTGACAACCATTATTACATCATCTGCTGGTCCTTGAATTTTTATTTTGAAAAGCATACCTTACTTTTCATTTAAAATAGAGCATTGGCCAGCAGGTGGTGTGTTGGTTACGGTTGCTGGATCCCCCATGGCTGACTCCATTCTAGTTCCTGATCCAGTGGTTTGAAAATCACACTGGGGGCCAACAAGTGGCATGGAAGTTAAGGAACTGGACTCCCACATGGTAGACTCTGGTTCAATCCTGACCCAGGAGCTTGAAAAATCACACTAGCGTGTGTGCATGTGTGCCCAAAATCCCAAGAGAAGAATGAAGGAGAAGGAGTTGCAGCATGGCCATCCCTTTGGCGGGGGGGGGGCAGGGGAAGGGGTGATTTCTCGCTTTCCCTCTGACTGTCTCTGTCTCTCCCATGAGCACACATGTCCTATGGTAGAAACCTAAAAAAAGGAAAGAAAGAAAAGAAAAAAATCTCACTAGGCGTGTGTTCATGCTTGCCCCAAATCCTGAGAGAATGGGGGAGAAAGGATTACATCATGGCCATCCTGTGAGGGGTGATTTCTCACTTTCTCTCTCTCCCTCTCTCTCACTCTGGTAAGCAATAGCACCCTATAGCAAAAAAGAAAAAAAACACACACTCAGTAAATGGATGAAAGAGGTTCTTAGGAGTAAAAATCAAAGAACCCTGAGAGTCACATGGCATTCTCAAACGGAAAACTAGGGAAACGACGTAATTTTTACCTAGGCACTTTTGTTTAAAGAAGGTTTTACTGCCAATTTTTCAGTTTTTCCCTCCTTTTTGTTCTTTCCTTCACCTTTACGTCAGCAGTCACTAGCAAGTAACTCACCTTTCCCATTTCAAACTCCATGCAAGCCATAACAATGACCTGGAGAGATGAAATAGACACGTGTAGGTATAAAGAGCAGTTAAGGCATGGGTCCTGGTTTCAGATGGTATTAATCATTCTTTTTCTGTTTTGTTTCATTTTTTAACCGAAAAAGAAATGCTGATAACTTATAAAATGTTGCTCTCACTCTTCCTTCTTTCTGTCTCCACTTCCTTTTTCTCTATTCAAATCAGTAAAATCTTGTTACCAAATGAGCCCACCAAGGTGAGAACTTTCATTTCCTTGAACACGAATGACACTGTGATTTTGACTACAAGATGCCTGAACCCTGAGATTCCATCGACTAACAAAATACTGCACTGGTTTTCACAGATGGGAAACCTCAGTTACACATGTTGACACCCTACCTCCTCTATCCGTACAAACCAAAGGGTAAAATAACAAAAGCAGCTCTGCACTTACCAGGACACTGTATTCCCAGATCATCCTCCAGAAGTCCAGGAGAGTTGTAGGTAAAGGACCTTGAGTGGCAATATATGCCTTGGGCCCATAAACTCCCTAGAGGAGAGCAGAAAGCACATACGGTGATTGCAGATAACATCCACTTCGCTAGTCTTCTCTGCCTCTTGTCTCTTTTTTAGAGACCTAGAGAAATATAACATGTTTTTATTTTCTCTCAGTGTACCTTAATGAAGTTGGCATTGATATAGCTGGAGTCCTCATCAGAAGTTATCAGAGACAGTTCTACCCGGCTATGATCATCTATAATAGTGAAAAAAAAAAAAGAAAGAAAATTGTGTAATTAAAAGGGCTTAGTCAGAGGATATATTGTAAGTCAGGGCCTAGCAATGCATAGTGGGAGATCCTAAGTGTTTGATGAGTGAGCAAGTGAGTGAATGAATGCTCTTTTGCAGTCATGAATAGTACAAACTAATTTGACAATGTTGTGTTCCAAGATTAGGAAGAGCAGGCAATGGATAAAAAGAGATGAATGACTGAATTTGGGAGAAGGTACAAGTTTATAGAAAGAAATGAAACTTACAGGGCAAAATATCCTTATATCTGTTTTTCTTGATATTCTTGGGTTTCTCAGCCACAGTTGTAGGGTAGGTTTTATCTGCCTTGTACTTAGTAGACTGTCTTTTCAGTTTCTGTAATAAAATACCAAAAATAATGAATCTTCCTAGAGAAAGGAAGTAAGAAGCTAGCTTGAGGGAGTTTTCCTTACCCACTGCCTAACTTTCCGCCTCAACCCTTTTAACACACTCTGGGACCAACTGCATTCAGGGCAGAGTCCCAGGGCACAAGGACAGCAGAGTTGAGTGACGTTTGCAGAAGTGAAAAGATCACACTTACTGCAGCTGAGCCACAGATGGCTAAAACTTAGAGGTGAAACGGGTGAATATTTTAAAAACCAAATATCTTCCAAAAACAATCTATGTGCTCCACCCAGCAGAGTAAAAATTTCAGTTACTTTCTTTACATCCATGATTTAGTTGGTTGTCAACAACAAAGTGACTTATTTCCATTAGTCTTACTTAATCATTTCATTTTTCTAAATGTAAATGGAGCTTAAGCTGAATTAATCCTCTATACTAGCAACATTTCAAATATTTCCGTCCCAAAAGTTGTTTTGTTTTGTTTTTTTTTAGTGACACAAACTTCAAAACTATCCCTCAATCAAATAATAATTTAGTATCATATTCTTTAGGTAGAATGTGATCTGAGCCAGGCAAAGGCTAGCTTAATGTAGTTGAATAAGATTTCTCAGAGAGTGGAAAATAATAATTATTATTATATTTATTTATTTACTTTTGCTATAGGGCACATATGCTCACCAGAGAGAGAAAGAGAGTAAGAGAGAAGGAAAGTGAGAAAGCAACACCCCCTCCAGGAGGAATGGCCACACTACAACCCCTTCTCCTACATTTTCCTCTCAGGATTTTGGGTACATGCGCACACAGATAATCTGATGTGGGGTTTTTTGTGTGTGTGTGTGTTTTTTTTTTTTGAGAGGTTTTTGCTATAGGGCACATGCACTCACCAGACAGACAGAGAGACAGAGAGACAGAAAACAAGAAATCACCCCTCTGGGGGATGGCCATGCCGCAATCCCTTCTCCTCCATTCTCCTCCATTCTCCTCTCAGGATCTTGGGCACGCACGCACACGCGCCTAGTGTGAGTTTAAGCCACCAGGTGTGGGACTGGAACCGCGGTCGACTACGTGGGAGTCCAGCGACAGCCATTACGCTAACTGCTGGTCCCCGCCTGACGTGTTTTTCAAGCTGTCAGTCTGGGACTCAAACCATGAATTTAGCCATGTGGGATCCAGTACCTTAATCTCCATGCCACTGGAGGGCCTGCTTCTTAAAATTATTCTCATTTTCCAGCACTGCACTATAGATCAAAAGTTCAGAGAAGATGATAGTTCCTCTGGCTCCTTAGGAATCAACCTTGTCCCAAATTTCGTTTACCTCCCTTACCCTTCAAAGAAGCCACATCTACTAAATCTGATATTTGTAGAATCTTACTCAGTTTGCAAAAGATGGGTTCAGGGGAGGTATCTTTATGATTTAAAAGATCAAATAAAAAATATCTGTTGAATTAAAATACTTTTCATTATTCTCTCACTGCTTAATGGTGAGTTGGTCACATGTGGAGCAATAATTACCTCCTATGCCCTCAGCATCAACTCAGTCTTCATCCTCTCTGACTTCCTTTTTGAAATTTCCTCCTACTTGGGCACTTATTAGTCTACTTTATCTTGCCTTTTCCTCTTTTTTCTCTGACTTCTCCTTCCCACTTCCCACTTCCCACTCTTTCTTATTTGAGTGCTCTCCTTTTCTATCTTCTGATGAGAATTACCCAAAGTTCCAAAGCTAAATCTTCAACTCTGTTCTATCAGTATATGCATTTGCTCAGAGATAGCATACCTTATGGAAGGCATCACAAATGTTTATTGACTGATTAACTGCTTCAAATTGGATTATATTTCCAACCTCTTTTGGGTAAATCTAGAATTTCTATGTTGAGATTTGATTACCAAATTCTAGTCCTGAATTCCCAACTATGTCCTCAGCATTTCTAATTAGTATGAGCATCTTACTACAGCCTTAGACTCAGCAAATTTAAAGCTAAAACCATCTGGGACCAGCAGGTGGAGAAATAGTTACGTCGCTGGACACCCATGTAGTTGACTGCAGTTTGAGTCCCAGACCTGGTGGTTCAAAACTCCCACCTGGCATATGTGCATGTGTGCCCAAAATCCTGAGAGGAGAATGGAGGAGAAGAGAGAACAGTGTGGCCGACTCCATCCGTCCCAGGAGAAGGGGGGTGATTTCTTGTCTCAGTCTCTCTGTCTCTCCTGTGAACTCATGTCCCCTAGGGCAAAAATCGCTCTTAAAAACAAAAACAAAAACAAAACCAACTAAATAATCATCATCCCATTGTAAATGCCAATAGCATTACCTTTACCTCAGACAACCACACTCTAAAAACTGAGAGGCACTTTTGGTTCCCCCTTCACACAGTTCCCATCTCTAAATTAAATAAGTTCAACAAATTATTCTTCTCAACTGATACCTTAGTCTAGGCCCTTTCCTTAGAGCTTGGACTATTACAGTTGCTTAACTCGTCATACATTTCTGTCTTAATCTATTCAAATCCATCAGGCATACTTATGATAAGTTAAAACACTGCTTTCCTTATTTCTCCCATGTTCAGAACAACTTCAGTGAATCCCTTTGCCTCTAAGGAAAAGAAAAATCCAAACTCCTTAGTCAGATACTTGAGGCTCTTCTCAACTGACCTCAACTGATTCGCAACTTCCCCCTATTTCCCACTGCCCTTCAATTATGAGACTTCAGTAGATGATTTCTGGCTTCTTTTAAGATTGTATAGATTGGGGGACCAGTGGGTGGTGTGGTAGTTAAGGAGCTGGACACTCCCACATGGCTGACCACAGTTCGAGCCCCGGATCTGGTGGCTTTCTTTCTCACTTTCCCTCTCTCTCTTTCCTTCTCTGTGTTTCTCTCTGGTCATATTAAAATAAATGAGTAAATAAATAAATAATTATTTTAAAATCTCAATTAACATTTAAAAGAAAAAAAGATTGTACAGATTGGAGCTGGCAGATGGAACGATGGTCAAAGGCACTGGACTTCCACATGGCGGACAGCAGTTCAGTCCCAGACCTGATGGATTGCTTTTTCTCTCTCTCTCCCCTGCTCTCTGGTCATATTAAAATAAGAAAGGAAAGAAAGAGAAAGAGAGAAAGAAAGGAAGAAAGAAAGAGAGAGAGAGAAAGAGAGAAAGAAAGAAGAAAGAAAGTTAAATAATTCTTGAAAAGATTGTACAGATTGATGTCACTGATGGTTATGTGTAATATGACTTCTTTAAAATTAGGGTTTTCCTCTTATTTCTCATGAATGTACCCCTGGTATTGATTATTTTTACATTTCTCAGACATGATTATGGTCTATTTTGTTCCACAGGATGAATTAATAAAGAGAGGTAAGGAAATAGACAAAGAGCTTTTCTCTAATGACAAGCAACAAGGGAAATACCTTTAAAAGAAAGGGGGTCAGTGAGAAAGCACCCCTCATGGAGAAGATATCCATGGTGCAATCCCTTCTCATTTTCCTCTAGGGATTTAGGGCACACACCCACACATGCCCAGCATGTTTTCCAAGCTGTCAGGTTCAGGACTCGAACCACACAGCTGGCCATGTGGAATCCAGCTGCCTTAAGTACCATGCCACCTAGCTGGCCCATAAAAGGGGATTGTTACTATTCTTATTTAGTTGTTTATATTTGGGGTAGTGTTTTCACATAATTAGGATATATATCTACCTATATGAATTTGCTTAAGGAAATTCAATTAAGTGTTTGAAAAATGAGTGAAGGGTCTGGCCCCATGGCTTAGTGATTAAGGGAGTCAGATTCCACATGGCCAATTGTGGTTTGAATCCTCAAATTTTTAGAACAACTTTGTAAATAGGAATGTAAGCTTTTTCTAACTAAGTTGCCAAGTGGAACAGACAGCCAATACTTGCTTATTTTCTGAACCACAAAGTGTCAACATGTATCATTTCAAGACTTTTTTTTCTTCCTATTTCTAGAGTTCGCTCTGACAGGCAATCTACTGAAAAGCAGGTATACAATTAGCTCTTAACTCCTAGTTTCTTACCATGGATTAAATTCCTTATGGATTTTCAGAATTGGATTTGGAAGGAGAGATGCTGAACTGATATCTTTACAACATTTTTCTGTAGTTTTTCTTTTTTTAATTTGCTATAAGGCACATATGCTTTCTGGAGACAGAAAGAGAGAGAGAGAAAAAAAAACAAAAAACAAAGAACCACCGCCTCTCCATGGGGGATGGCTTTGCCACAATCCCTTCTCTTCCATTCTCTTCTTGGGATTTTGGGCACACACATGCACACACACAGTGCATGTTTTTCAAGCTGCTGGGCCCAAGAGGAACCTGCTCAGTCAGCCATGTAGGGTGAAGCTGCCTTAACCACCACATGACTGACTCATATTTTTATACCAAGATAGATACAAGTAACTAGTTTGGGAATTTAACTGAAGACATGGTATAGGCACTCAAGAGACTAGCAAGTGTGTTCTCTGAAGGTGGCACAAACACCACATTTTCATCTTTCTGCTCTTCATGTACTTTTGGGATGATCATTTTCAGGTTGCCATCAATCCCTAGGCTGCTTAAAAACATGTCAAGTCGCAGGATAATTCCTTCTAGAAATCTCCAGAACAGAGTGCAGCCACCCCCGACTACACCGTTTTTGTTTTGCTATGCTTTCCCCGTGGAGTGCTTTCTAGTGACAATGCTATAGACGAAGTCCTTTTGGTAAGATATACTTCAGTTAATTTGGTAACATGTCGCGGGTTAAAGGTTATACGTGTTGTAGCCTGTATTTGTTTAGCTGCCTTGACTGCCGCCCTCATCGCTGGGGCACAATGGCTTTTTCCCTCCCATGCTCTTTCTTCCTCCTGGAGTCATTTGGCTGGATGACAAAGGGAGACAATTTTTAGCAAAACATCACACAGGAAATGCCTGTAGAACTCTTAACTTGGAAAGTATGAAAGATTTTTCCCCCAGACATCTTACTGTAAAGTCAGACTACTCTA